CATACGAATTTAAGAAAGTTATTCAACTGGCTAGTACTAAATTTAATTCTTCTTAAGCGTGTGTTTAATAATCTCAATAAACAATTGCTTTTCTCTAGATTTTGTTTGGCCCATTTTAAGGGAAAGACAGAGACAAAGGAAAAGACATAAGGAAAGTTGGGGAATTAGACTACTCACCTGTCTTTTCTGGCTCTCCATGTCCAGGGGATCTGCAGAATCCTGATTGAGGGCTATCAGAGGCTGCTGATTAGGGAGTCATCTCTCTTGAACACTCCCAGAAGGTGCTAATGTGGGGAACAACCTCTGTGAAAACTACCTCTTCTCCAATGGACAGTATTCTGATTATCTTTTTACTGGTCCCTGATTCCAAAAGACCAGCTTTCAAGGCTGTTACAGGGTTGTAAAAAGAATGCTGCAGAGTGGGGGGACTTAGGAATTTTTTTTTTTGTCTGAGGGTCTTAGAAATGGAATGTGACACACACAAGAACTGACAATCACTCTCTTTCTCTTTATGTTATTGAGAATATTGCTCTTTCTAGAACTTCTATCTTGGCGAAAGGAAACATGTAAATTAAATTTACTCCAAATATTGAATATAGAGCTTGCCAAGAAGTTGGCACAATCTTTCAACTACGTATTCTCAACTTCACCTGATACTCCATGTATCAGGAGATACTATCATGACTGCTCTATTACAGGTTATTCACTTTCCCACTAAGATTTCTACAGTAAAAGAACCTAAAACTGCTGGGTGGTGGTGTATGCCTTTGATCCCAGCTCTTGGGAGGTAGAGGCAGGTGGATCTCTGGGTTCGAGAGTAGCCTGGTCTATAGAGCAAGTTCCAGAACATCCAGGGCTACACAGAGAAACCCTATCTTGAAACAACAACAACAATAACAATAAAAAGAAGCTAAAACTGCATGCATAGCAAATCAGAGACTTGGCAGATACTAAACATGCAAATTCTTTTTGTACCCAATGCTCCATTCTTTTTGTACCCAATTCATAAGCCTGTATTTATCTCTAACTAATAATATTATTGTCTCACAGTCTAAAAAGGATAAATTGCTCTAAAAGTCTGGCCAAATGGACTTCCTGTGACCTTTAACACTTCGGCTTGCATATATCCTCTACAAAATTGAATATACATTCTCCTCATAGTTAAGAGTCTAAAAGCATTGGTTTTCCCCTGAGGTTCCTACATTAGAAAGAACTTTATGTAGTAACACTAAACCACCCAACTGACATCAGATGAAAGAAAAACATGCTCCTGGATTCATATGAATCAAAGCAAATGAGATCAGGACAATTGAAGGGCCAGCCCTACAACTGACTTTAGATTCTTAAGCCCCAGAGACAGAGAGCATCATAAATGAAACAGCCATTTCCCAAGGTCATGGATCAGGATCCATCTACCTCCTTCTCATAGTGTTGTTTGTAAAATCCTCCTAAAGATAAAGCTATTACTTTATTGTTATTATTATTATTACTATTAGTATTATTTTGTTTATTGAGACAGGGTTTCTCTGTGTAGCCATGGCTGTTGTGGAACTCGATCTGTAGACCAGGCTGGCCTTAAACTCAAGAGATCCACCTGCCTCTGCCTCCCGAGTGCTGGGATTAAAGGCATGTGCTGCCACCACAGCCCAGAAAGATAAAAGTTCAAAACACTTTTCTTGTGCTTTTCTCTTTGGGTCATTCATTGATTCCCCTTCTTTCAATCTCCAACACACACACACACACACACACACACACACACACACACACACACACGCCCCAGCCACTCTGGCCTCACTTTTCAAATGCTGGAATTTTGGGACTCTGTCACCATACTGAGCTTTGGTCTGCATTTCTTAAAACACAAGATATATATTCATCAGACAAATGAGCCACTGTAGATGAAGTTTTCCTGTGTCCCACCCATTCCGCACCGCTCAGACCCAAGTAAAAACACACAAGTTTATATTAATTAAAACTTCTTGGCCATTAGCTCAGGCCTACCACTGACTAGCTCCTACACTTAAACTCAGCCCATTTCTGTTAATCTATAAATCTCCATGTTTTCTGTGGCTTTACCTGTGTGCCATTACATGCGGCTCCCTGGACAACAGGCTGGTGTCTCTCAACTCAGCCTTCCTCTTCCCAGAATTCTCCTTGTCTGCTTATTCCACCTATACTTCCTGCCTGGCTACTGGCCAAGCAGCTTTAATTAATATAAGCATCTGTGTGTTTACTTGGGTCTGAGCGGCTGTGGACCAGATGGCACTCAGGAAAACCTTCAGCTACAAACCAGTGTACAAAAGCACTATTCCACAGCAAGCCACTTGTGACCAAATTATTTTAGGAATAGTTGCTTTAATGGTTTTTGGGGGAATGTGCTTAGATTTTCTTTTCTGATTACTTAGTCTTATTCTAATTTATCCTTTTCTCTGTTTGAAAATTTATTGTCATTTGGTTATTGATCTGCTTTTCCTTTTCTCAGCTGCCAACTTCTGTGTGACACTCTTAGGGAAATTACAGATGGGGAAGTGACAGAGTGCAGGGACTGTCACTCAAAATATGGAACTCTGGCATGCTGATTTGTTTGTTTCTTTTGCATTTTGAGGAAGTGTCTCTCTCTGTAGTTCTGGCTGACCTGGAGCTCACTGTGTACTCAAACTCATGGTGATCTGCCTGCCCCTGTCTTCAGAGTACTGGGATCAAAGGCGTGAACCACCATGCTTAGCTTATACTGTTTTTGTTGTTTGTTTTGATTTTCAATTGCTTTATTTACTTACATTATTTTTCCATGCAAATGGGCAAAACTGTTAACAGAAACTTACACTGAGTAGGAAGGCAATCTCCAATTAGAAGCTGGCAACACAAGACCCACCCAGCACATGGAAATAACACAAGGCTCACCACTAACAGATCAGTAAAGGCATGTCAAGAAAATACAAGGAAGAAGAAGGCAGTCAGAATCACTGTATTAATCTCATGGAAAATTGTAGAAGTCAAGGCATAAGGCAAAATTCATCATGATGAGCATGTTGATTAGAGAGCTCCTCCCTAAGAATATGCAGTTTCTTGACTGTAGCTCCCTAAGTTTTCTCTTGATTCTTCTCATCTTTTCCATCATATCATCCATAGCCTCTCCATCTCTACCCATCTCATCATAAATCCACCTATTGAGTACGGCCTGTAGGAAGTTAGGAGCAAGTCAATGAGCCTATCCTCTTCTCTTGTTTCCTGTAGGCTGGTGGCCATCACCTCTTCCCAAGGGGCAGTCAGTCTTCTGTCTCTTCGGCAGCAGCTCCTCCATTCCTTCCTTTTCCTGGGCCTATCCCTTGCCATGTCTTCCTCTTCCCAATTCTCTCTGCAACATGTGCTGCCAGCAGACATGCTTTCACTTGCCCAAGACTAAAGCCAGCCTGACATTTACAGGGCAGCAGGGAGCACGTGACCAGATGCCAGTGATGACTGTTCCCAAGGTTGTGCAGCTCTGCAGCTTCATGCTGGTTATTTTAATAAAGGAAGTTAGCAGCTGATGTTGGACAGGGCTTTACTCCTTTCTACCCTAATGTGCCTAATGTCCCAATTCACCAAAGGAGAAAATAATTACCTCTGTTCTTCTCCCCCAGTTTTGTTAATAGTCCCTTATGGCAAGAAGCCTGTCAGTATCCTGAACAGACTTTGCCACATACCATCATCATCTATTTTAATCTCAGCCAATGCTCCAAAAGAAAATAATTTTCATACCATTTACAAACTCATCTGTTCTCTGGTCCCAACAGGCAGTTACATGTTCTCCGAGTGCATTGACTTCCTCTAAAAATCATGTACTATTCCCCAACATTTTGCATTATTTCCCTCTCACACACACACAAATTATAGAGTCCAGGCCATTCCTCAAATCCTGGAAGCCCTCAAATCCTGGTACCTCAGCCTCTTGAATGGTGGAAATAAGTCTTGTGCCTCTAAGACCAACAAAAACCAATAGCATTTGAAGCTGAATGGAAAGCATGAAATTACTTAGCTATTTTCAAGAGGTGTATGATATAAAAAATATTTTAAGCTTCTCAAATTTACTTGCCATATTTACTGTAGTGTGCCTGACAGTGAGTTAATCTGTTGACACCTTAGTCTGGACCAAGGCTGTGAAAAACTAGTTAGGAGTTACTACATTCTTCACCACCACCACTTACTTGCAGATTATAAGAGCAGTCTCACTTTTAAAAAGTCTTTTCAAAGTCAAAGTATGAAGGGATGGAAGAGATGGTTCCATGGTTAAGAGTGCTTACTGATCTTGTAGATGACCCCAGACAGTTTCTAGCACAAAGCTCACAGACACCTGCAATTCCAGTTTTAGAGAATTTGACTCCCTCTTCTGACTTCCATGACATCCTCACACACATGGCATGCATTCACACAAATTCACACGCACACACCCATAAGTAAACCTTTTTTCTTTTTTAATGTCAGTGTCATGGAGGGTAAGCTGGCCTTAAACTCATGTCAAACCTCTTGCCTCAGCACAGTCTCCTAAGTGCTGGGATTACAGATGTCGGTCACCATGAGCAACTTTTAACACAGTAAATGCCTTTGGATTCAAATTACATAAAGCTTTGAGATACTTAATAAAGATAAGCACAAATAAGAGACCCTGAAACCAAAACATTCAAAATCTCAACACACCTCCTGACAGGACTCAAAGAGCTCCAATTACAGGAGGAAGGGGTCTCCATGAGTCCCTGGTCCGAGGTTTTGCCTTTAAGGTGTTTGAGGTAGGGAAGCCAAAGGTTGGGAATTCCCTCATCTCCCGGAATTCCTTTCTGTGGCCTTCAACCCATGTCAGCTGTTCCTTCCGTCCATCTGGACACATGTTCTCACTCCCACTGCAAGTCTGAATTCTGGAGAAAGCCACTCACAGTCACTGTGGTCTCTCCCCACAAACCATGACGCTATAAAATTCACAGAGAGGAACAAAGTTTCAATCCCTCCAGGTTTTCCAGACACCAAGGATGGGGGCTGCAGCTCAGAGTCCCACCCTCCTGCTGCTCTCAGTACTGCTGGCTCTGGCAAAGACCAAGACCCATAGTGGCGCTGGTGAGTGTGAGTCAGGAAGGAAAAGGCCTCTGCTGGGAGGAGCTAGGGAACCTGGCTAGGCAGCATCCCAAAAGCCCTTTCTCATCACCCATCCAGACTCTGCTGCTCTCTTCTCTATCTGCATTCCCAGCCCTGAACCTGAGCCCTTCTGGGGCAGCACACTTGTCCGGGGTCCAGGGAGGAGGGTCAGGGTCTCACTGCGCACTGCCCCCAGGCTCACACTCGCTGAAGTATTTAATAACCACGACCGGGTCTCGAAAGGATCTCCGAGATCGCCAAGTCTTCGCCCTTGGCTATGTAGACGACATGCAAATCCTGCGCTTCAAAAATGATGGGGCTACTAAGATGGAGCCGCGCGCGCCATGGACGAAGCAGATGGGGCGTAATTATTGGGAGATGGTGAGAAAAGGTATGGAGGATTATGCACACACGGCCCGAGAAAACCTGAGATTTGCAATCCGGATCTATAACCAGAGCGATGATGGTAAGTGACATATCCCCACGGACTGGACCGAGTCCATCATCTCCCCCCCCCCCTCCCGTCCCTCCTGGGTCCCAGGCCCTAGATTCGGTCCAAGGCTGCGGGGCCCGCAGAGACCCTGGGCCTGAGAAAGCATCGGACAAAGACGGGGTTTCTGGTTGAGTTTTGGTGGAAATTCTGTGGGTGGGTTGGGCCCTGATACCGGGCTGACTTTGGGGGCGGCCGCAGGCTCTCATACCTTCCAGTGTTTCCTTGGCTGCGACGTGGGTCCAGACCAACTCTTCCTGCGTGGGCACTATAGACATGCCTTTGATGGCCGTGATTATATCAGCCTGAACGAAGATCTGAGTTCTTGGACTGTGGCTGACAAGACAGCTCAGATCACCCAGCAACAGTGGGAGACAAAACACCTTGCAGAGAATTGGAAGATCTTCTTGGAGGGCCGGTGTGTTGCATCCCTACTCAGGCACCTGGAGTTTGGGAAGGAAACTCTGCAGCGCTCAGGTAAGAGGGGTTGAGAAGCAATTCCTCCTTCTGCACTCAGAGTAGGGCACAGGCCTCCAAGGAGAGAGGAAAATGGGACCAGTTGAAATACTACAGCTCTTACTTGTACCAGGAGGGAGAAGAGTGCTCCTGGTTTTCCTGACCCAACATCAGAGTGATTCTTCCAAGACTCACCCTTCTCTCAGGACAGTCTAGGGACTCTTGGGATGATAGGAAAGAAGATCCCTGAAATAACCAACAGCAGCCCTGTTCAGTCTGCAACCCATTATGAACCATGGCTTCCCAGAGGCTGAGTTCTCTACCCACACCCAATGTCTTTGGAGGTCTGACTCAAGGGATGATGAGTCGCTCATCCCTCCATCCAAGTCAGGACCAGAAATCTCTTTTTCATGGTGAGAAACTTAGGAATCTTCCTTTTCCAAGAAATAGATTATACTAGTGCCTGAGTGTAGACAGCTTGTGTGTGGTTTGCACCAACCCTCCCTCATCCCCTACATCTTGATTCTCTTGTGCATTGCAGGATATGCACATGAATACAGTTTAAGTCCCCAGAAAAATTATAAAATGCTTGAATTTTTCCAACTCTTCTCCTCAGACCCTCCAAAGGCACATGTAACCCATCACCCCAGACCTGAAGGTGGTGTCACTTTAAGGTGCTGGGCTCTCGGGTTCTACCCAGCTGAGATAACCCTGACCTGGGAGAGGGATGGGGAAGACCAGACCCAGGACATGGAGCTGGTGAACACCAGGCCTGGAGGCGATGGAACCTTCCAGAAGTGGGCAGCTGTGGTAGTACCTTCTGGAGAGGAGCAGAGATACACATGTACTGTGCAACATGAAGGGCTGCCTGAGCCCCTCATCCTGAGATGGGGTAAGAAGGGGTGTGAGCACAGATCCTGTTGTCAAGGAAAACAGGTGACCTTCTGGAGACCCTGAGTGGGATCAGTGCTGAGCTGGGGGTTAGGACCCCTCAACTCTACTCTCTCTTTCCAGAGCCACCTCCTTGGCCCACAATTGGAATGACTGTTGGTGTGGTTCTCCTTGGAGTTGTGGTCACTGGAGCTGTGGCTGCCATTGTGATGATGAGGAAGAAAAGTTCAGGTAGGGAAGGGATTGGTGTCTGAGGGTTTTCCATGAGTTGAAGCCCTAGAAGCTCATGTCCTGTTCTGTTACTATGAGACACACCTTTGTGTGAGTGCTTACCTAATCTGGGACTCAGTGAACTAGCAAGTTTTTTGTTTTGTTTTTGTTTTTGTATTTGTTTTTGTTTTTTTAAGACAAGGTGTTGTAGCTGGAGTTTTCCTGCCTGGCCCACAGTCAGGATAAATCTCTCTCACCTGCCAGTCCCACAGCCGCTCAGACCCGACCAAGTAAACACAGACACTTATATTGGTTACAAACTGTATGGCCGTGGCAGGCTTCTTGCTAACTGTTCTTACAGCTTAAATTAATCCATCTCCATTAATCTATGCCTTGCCACGTGGCTCGTGGCTTACTGGCATCTTCACATGCTGTTTCTCATCATGGCGGCTGGCAGTGTCTCTCTGACTCAGCCTTCCACTTCCCAGCTTTATTCTCCTCCTTGTCCCGCCTACACTTCCTGCCTAGCCAATGGCCAAACAGTGTTTTATTTATTGACTAATCAGCAACACATTTGCCATACAGAACATCCCACAGCAAGGTGTCTTTATATATCCCTGGCTGTCCTGGAACCCACTATGTAGACCAGGCTAGCCTCAAACTCAGAGTTCCACCTGCCTCTGCTTCCCAAATGCTAGGGTTAAAGATGTGTGCCACTATGCTCAGCTGTGCTATCACTTTTTAAAGCCTGGGCTATGGAGGTACTCTAGAGCATCATTACCCTGGATCTCTGTCAGTCTTTTTATTTCCCCCTATGTAACTCAGGTAACATTTCCAGGAATCTACATTCATCATTGTATTTCTACCTTTTACCACCTTGTCCCAGCTCTTGAACTCTCTTTACACATTAAGGGAACACCTAGTAAGTGTACAGAAAGGACACAGAGAGCAAGCAATGCAAGCCTTTAAGTGCGAGCCTTAAAAACTTTCTCCCAGAGTCCAAAGAAGGCTCTAAAACCAGCGAAGATAAACTCTATCTGAGGGTTATGGGATGAATCTACTCACAACATGCTCTTTCTTTCCATGTCTCTTTATTCTCTCATTCTTCTCTAAATCTACAGCTTCTCTCCAACTCTCATTCTTGGCTCCTCTCTTACCTGACTCCTTATATTTCTAACCAAGACTCCTTGCAATCCTGAGAAAAGTTTCAAAGCCCTCAAGGCCATAGCACATTCCTAGAATAGATGATAAGGAACAGAGCCATTGCCATAGTAATGCAAGGTTCCAAGGTCTCCAGACTAGAGGGAGGGGGCACAATGCCCAGTGCAACAAACTCTGAGACATAGCTTGTTATCAGAAGACTTGGCAAGTGAAGAATTGGCAGGCTTTTCTTGGCGTGTTTTCTGTTGGTAATCTTGGTAAGGTACCTGTGACTCTGACCTTGTGCATAACTGTAAAGTTTTAAACTTATGATCTATTTACAAAGGCTTTTAGTCTAGTTTGAACTTGCTCTGAAGTAAAAATGAGCTAAATGCATGCAGTTTGTGTTAGCCTGAGGTGAGATTGTTATTTTGTTAGTCTGAGTAAAAGGAACAAAGCAGGCTTTAAGTGTCTACAATCTTGTAGGACTATAGATCTGGCTACGAAGCATATCCTAGTATATTTTCTATATATCAAAATTATATAGTTAAATGAAAAGTCATTTTCCTGACCACTCACAGATATATGTGCCCATAAGATTGAGGTGTAATCATGAGATTACATATACACATTTTATGAAAATGCATGGCAATGGGGAAATATCATAGCTGTAATTGCACAAGAAATTACAGATGAAAACAACAGTATTCAGAGTCTGTAGCAGAATATTATTTTAACGTGTGTTACTTTTGTTTATGTTGCATTTGTTTAACTCTGTGAAGCTGTGTTACTGTGCCTGTGTAAAACACCTGATGGTCTAATAAAGAACTGGGCAATAGCAAGGCAGGAGAATGGATAAGCAGGGCTGGCAGGCAGAGAGAATATATAGAGGGAGAATCTGGAAAAGGAAGATAGAGAAGGAGCCAGAGAAGGGGACAACAGGGGCCAGCACCCAGCTACAAAACCAGCAAGATATGGAGTAAGAGTAAGACTTACAGAAGTAAGAGAACAGGAAAAACCCAGAGGCAAAAGTTAGATGGCATAATTTAAGATACGGAAAGGTAGCTAAAAACTAAGCCAAGCTAAGGCCAGGTATTCATAGGTAAGAATAAGCCTTCGTGTGTGATTTATTTGGGAGCTAGGTGGCGGCCTCCTGAAAAGAGTAAAAAACCCCAACAACAGTGTCAGTGGCCAGCAAGCCTTGCTGGACAGGTTAGTCCATAAGAGAACATTCCACTGGTGGATTGATATCTGAATTATCAATTGCTATAAACTGTGATGCATCGTGACCCACAATAGCTCATGACAATGGCCTCTGACAAGCAAGTCCCTCTGTCACTTTCCTAACATTCCTGCAGCTGGGCACCACATGGTAGTCCTCAGCTCCAACAGTTCAATGACCACATGCTGCACCTTGACTCAGACATGGTGATAAGGAATATCTGGAACTGCATAAAAAAATATGACTGGGATGACATTGGCACATCCAGTTCCCATGAGTGGCAGGAAATCTGTTCCACAGAGACCAGCTCCAGGGTGTCAGTGATTCCTGTGCTCAGTTGATCCTTGTGGGACTTGATGTTGATGGGCTTGTCAGTTCTGTTCCCAGCTTTGAAGCCTCATATTTGGTTCATGGCTTTTTCCAAAACAAAATAACCACCAACCCTCCAATATCACATAATAAATTCCTTTGTTTTTAAATGATAAGAATTTGGATTTAATTATTTATACCGAAAAGTAAGAAATCAGCCTAGGGAATTTTCAGATAGCAGCCAGTCAATTCAATGTAATTGCTTCATGTATTTTCTATCTGTATTTTCTGTCTGAAGCTACACCTCATGGGAAAGAAAACAATACAAATCTGTTAACATGACAATTAGGACTGATAATGTATATTCTCCTTTCTCTTTTTCAATTCCTCCACAAAATGGAATGCCCACATAACACCCTTTTCCATCATGGATGCTGTTCTCACCACTAACATCAGTGGCCATAAATCCTGTTCCAAAACACTCAGGACTCTTTCTAGATCCCTCATTTAGATTGCTCAGAATATATCCCATGACTCACACTTCATTTTTCTGTTTCTCTGTTAACAGCATCTCACACTGTGTCCCAGGCTGGCTTGGGAATCACTATGTAGCTGTGATGGTTAAACTTCATTGTCAACTTGAGTGGATTTAGAATCTCCTAGGAGATTCAGTTCTGGTCGCATCTGTAAGAGTGTTTTCAGAGATTAATTAAAGATGGAAGACCCACCCTGGGGCTCAAGGATAAAATGAAGAAGAGGAGAAAGCCAGATGAGAGATCCCTATGCTCTACTTCCTGAAGTTTGAGGAATCCCAGCCACATGCCCCTGCTGCCATTTATTCCATTACACCTTATGCTGAGATTGACTGAACCTTCTTAAATCATGAATCAGAATAAATCTTTCTTCCTTTAAGTTGTTTCTGCTGTGCATTTTGTCACAATGAAAAAAGTAATTAATAAAAATCTGTATGGGCTTTGAAATACCTGCAATCCTCTTTGCCTCTCCTGGAGTGTTAGAATTACATATATGAACCACCATACCTGGCAGCAGGAATTATTTATGTAACATGCCATAAGTGAGGCTGATGCATAGCCTATGAGCTCCTGTCTACATTCCTTGAAGTTCCATGATCTGAACAACAGCTGCCTCTGCACCACTTTGTTATAAATACAGAGACTCTTGTGTCTTCACAGATTTCCCAAGTCTTTGTTTTGTTTGTGAGGTTTTGCTTTGACTGTTTGTTGAAACAGTCTCACTATGTAGCCTTGACTGGCCTGGAACTAGCTGTACATGTAGACCAGGCTGGCCTTGAACTCAGAGAGGTCCTACGATAGGAGGCATCGTTCTCTGCCCAAAGTGCTGGAAGTAAAAGCCTTTGTCATCAAGCCCAACTTTTTTCTGAATCTTGCTGAGATGCCCAGAGGATTCCTGTGCACAGGAAAGTCTGGGACTGCCTGGTCTATGGGCCTTCTAGACACATGCCCGGAGGTGCACAGTCTGTGTTCTAGGTGTGTTCTCTAATGAGATCACTGAGCACTTGGGGGGGGGGGGCAGGATCAGTCCAATTCCAACAAGTCTCATCTGCAGGCTTATCTGTCCCCTGTCAATCTGGTTGATTTATGTTCATTTCCCTGTCTGCAAACAGAAAATCTATTCTGCTACTTGTACAGTCCTAAATTTTTGGTATAATCTTTACTTCATTTTGTAGTCCAGATTTAATTCAGTAGGAAATATTGTAATGTCCATGTTTTAAATGAATCCAAAATTCAATTTTTTGCACTGTTTTCTCTGCTCACACCTTAAGGAAAAGCATCCTGTGTCCCTTCCCTAAACTACTAAATGAATTTCCAATTGCTTCCTCTGTTGTCTTTCTTAATTCCCACAAATTCATCCAGTTCTCAACCAGGATGATCCTTTGTTTGTTTGTTTGTTTGTTTGTGAAACACACTCTATGGAGCTGAACTTGTAGTCTACTGTGTCTGCTTCCCAGTTCCTGGGCTTCCATGTGTGCACCACAACACCTGGCTCTTGGTTTTGTTGTCTTTGAATTATTTATATATTTTAGACATTAATCCTCTTTTAGATTATAACTGGTAAAGATTTTCTCCCATTCCTTAGATTATCTATTCACTCTCTAATTGTGGCTGGGTAGAAAGCTTTTCAATTTCATGCATTCCCATTTGTCAACTCTTGCTATTATTTCTTGACCATAAATCCTTCTCCAAAAGACCTGGTCTATGTATATATCTAAAGGGTTTTCCTCTAGCAGATTTCAGAGTTTCATATTATATTTAAAGTCTTTGAGATTTTTTCTACAGAATGAAAGATAGAGATATAGTTTTGTAGAAGATAGAGATCTTCTACACAAGGATATCAAGTTTTTCCAACAACATTTGTTGAATGAGTTTATCTTTTTTCATCAATGTATGTTTCAGGCATTGTGGCTGAAAATAAGATAGCTGTATGTAAGAATTTCTTTGGTATTGGAGGACCAAGGAAAGCAACAAAAATCACACCATGCAATAGACCTCACACAAAGGATTTATTGGGAGGGGGCAAAAGAGGCTGCTTCTGAGTGGGGATGTGTGAGAGAGAGAGGCAGGGAGGGAGGAGGAGAGGATGAGAGGGAGGGCTGATGGCTCCCACCTTATAGGGGGTATGGAGCATGAGCATATGAGACCATGGCACAGTGGAAATGTGTAATATTGTGATGACAGGGATGCTGGCCCTGGGTCCTTGAAGGCTGGGTGGGGGATGAGGGAGCACCTGGTTCTGGAATGTAGGTAGTTCTAACACTTTAGTTATAGATTACATCTGAGTCCTCTATTCTATTCCATTGGTCTGTGTATATTTCTGTGCCAGTACCATGCCTTTTTATTTCTTCTTTTTTAAAACCATGTCTCTGTAATAGAATTTGAGATCAGGATTTTAACGCATCTAGTATTGCTCTTCCTACTAAGAACTACTTTGGCTATTAGGAGTTTTTTTTTCTGCATCCATATAAATTTAGAATTTTTTCTAATTCTTTAAAGAATGTTATTGGGAAATGCACTTAATTTCTAGATTTATTTCAGGACTATAACCATATTTGCAATATTAATTTTGCCTATTCATGAGCATAGAGGGCCTTTCTATATCTTCTAGTGTTTTCTATTTCTTTTTTGTTTGTTTGGTTAGTTAGTTTTGGTTTTTGAGACAAGGTCTCACTATGTAAACAAGGCTGGCACCAAAGTTGCAGCAATCCTTCTGCCTGCTGAGTTTTGGATTACAGATGTAAGCCATCATGCCCAGCCTTAATTAATGTTTTAAACTTTATTGTAGATGTCTTTACCCCCTTATCTATATTCCTAGGTATTTAGTTGTTTTACTTCATTTTTGAAGCAATTATGTGTGGTGCTGTGGGATGTTCTGTATGGCAAATGTGTTGCTCTGATTGGTTAGTAAATAAAACACTGATTGGCCAGTAGTCAGGCAGGAAGAAGTATAGGCGGGACAAGGAGGAGAATAAAGCTGGGAAGTGGAAGGCTGAGTCAGAGACACTGCCAGCCGCCACCAGGACAAGCAGCATGTGAAGATGCCAGTAAGCCACAAGCCACGTGGCAAGGTATAGATTTATAGAAATGGATTAATTTAAGCTGTAAGAACAGTTAGCAAGAAGCCTGCCATGGCCATACAGTTTGTAAGCAATATAAGTCTCTGTGTTTACTTGGTTGGGTCTGAGCAGCTGTGGGACTGGTGGGTGAGAGAGATTTGTCCTGACTGTGGGCCAGGCAGGAAAACTCTACCTACTGTGTGGGATTGTTTTCCTGATATTTCTCAACATATTAGTTGTTGGTATTTTGAAAAGCTGCCGGCTTTTGTATGAGCTTTATATCCTGTTACTTTGCTGAAATTATGTTTGATATCAAGCATAGGATCATATCACTTACAACTAGAGGTCATTTAACTTTTTGCTTTATGTCTGGTTTCCCTTTTCTTTCTTTCTTCCTTTCTTCCTTTCTTTCTTCCTTTCTTTCTTTCTTTCTTTCTTTCTTTCTTTCTTTCTTCCTTTCTTTCTTTTGTTTTATTGCTCTTAAGACATCAAGAACTACATTAAATAGAAGTGGAGAAAATAGACAACATTTGTCTCATCAATTTTAGAGGAAATGTTGTTTTCCCTATTTAGTATAATGCTGGATATAATTTTCTTATTTATAGCAGTTATTATGTTGAAATACATGTATTTTATCCCTAGTTTCTTCAGGGTTCAAATTTATCATAAAAGATGGTGAACTTTGTCAAAGACCTTCTCTGCATTAAGGTGACCCTGTGATTTCTGTCCTTGCATCTATGTGCCATATCACATTTATTGACCGAATGTGTTGAGCCATACTTGTGTCATATCTGGAATGATGACAATTTGATCATGGTATATGACATTTTAATGTGCTGTTGACTTTTGCTTACAAGTATTGTATTGAAAATGTTCACATCCATGTTCATCAAAGAAATTGGCCTGTACTTGTCTGTTTTGTGTCTTTACTCAGTTTTGATATCAGGATAATGGTCGTCTTATAAAATGCTTTTGGTAGTATTGTTTCCCTTTCTGTTTTATGAGGTGATTTGAGATACATTGATGTTAGTTCGTCTTTAGATGTAGAGTTCAATGGTGAATCCACATGTTCTTGTATTTTTACATGGTTCTTATTTTTAGCGTTATCAGGTATAAAACTGCCCCAGAGCCATTGCTTACATTTATACTAGATTTGTAGAATGGTGGGAAATGAACACACTAATTCTCCATTAAAAAAAAAAAAACTCTACCTGTTTTTAAGACAGAGTTTCTAAATAGCCAGAAGTTCACCAATTGGACTGGTTTGCATGGCCCTGAGTTAGAGGAATCCACCTGCATCTATCTCTACAGTCCTGGGATTACAAGCTATGCCACAATAGGCTCTGGGAAATTGAGCTCCAGACGTCATGCTTGCAAGATAAGCACATTACCAAATTCCCAGCCCCATAGTAAACAACAGAGTCTCTCTATGTAGTTCTAGCTGTCGTACTATATAGACCAGGCTGCCCTTGAACTGACAGAAATCCTCTGCCTCTGCCTCCTGAGTGCTGGGATTAAAGGTGTGTGCCATCACAGCCAGCTTATAGTAAACAACTATTAACACACGTGTATTAGGTTACTTTAGGATTCATTTAATTTGGAAGTTTTGTCATTATCTTTTTTGAACTGAATTTCTAAGTCCTCTGCTTCTTGAATTCTCATTATGCTCTGTGCCTCCATCTCTCCTTTCCTCCCTTCCTTTCTCCCTTCCTTCTTTTCTCCCTCCCCTTCCTTCTTTCCTTCCTCTTCATTCCCTTCTTTCTTTCCTCAATTCCTTCTTTCCTTCCTTCATTCTTTTTGTGCATTTTTTTTTTTAGGGCTGGTTATTGAAACAAGGACTTTGCACATGCTCAGCATGCACACAATCACTGAACTATGTCACTAACTTGTTCTTTTCTACTTCCCTCCTTTTTGCTTTATTTATATTTCAGACAAGTTCTCATTACATAGCCCAGGCTGAGCTAGAGGCTACTATATAGCAAAGATTAGCCTTAAACTTGCAATCCTCTTGCCTCAGCCTCCTGGGGACTGGGATTACAGGTATGTGCCACCACACCAATTGTATTTACTACAATTATACTAATTATATTTACTTACAACTGAAGGTGACATTATGATAGCTAAAAGAAGAAAATTAGGAAGCCAGCT